CACTATTTTGTAAAAGAAGGGAAGCAAAAAAGAATTCTCACTGTCCAAACAGGTCCAAAACAGGCAAAACTAATCTATGATGAAAAGAGGTCAATATAGTTATAGGCAGGGGAGGCAGGCATGAGAGAACATTTTGTGGCACAGAAAATATTCTTGATCTAGCATACATATATATGGGTATATAGGTATGTAACAATTCTTGAGTTGTATACTTAATATTTGTGGTATTTACTCTACATAAATTTATCACTCTATAAAAAAGTAAAAATTAACTAGTAAATTAACTAGTAAAATATTCCAGGCTTTTTAAATGAGCTGGGACTTTTTCCTCTCTATTTTCTGCCGCTTCTATTTTTTGGTATAAAATAGAGATTATTACTTAAGAGCTTGATGAAACTTACCAATAAAACTATCTAGGCCTTTATTGTTAGATTCAATTTCATTTATAATAGCAGCTTTATTTGTATATTTGTATTTTTGTATTTGTAATATTTGAAATATTTGTATATTTCATAAAATTGTGGCTTATATAGCATATTTCTTTCTCACTTAGGAATGATATTTTGCTCCACATACAATCTCAAATTCAATTTCCTTGCTTCTTTTAAGATACTACTTTGTCTGGGGGTACCTGGCTGGCTCAGTGGCTCTTGATCTACATGTTGTGAGTTCAAGCCCTACATGGGGTGTAGACATTACTTAAATAAAACTTCAAAAAAAAAAAAAGATACTATTTGTCTTACAAGTAATGTTGGTATTGAGAAGTTCAGAGTCAATCTGATTCTTGTTCCTTGGCAGATAATGTGCTCTTTCTTCTGGAAAATTTTCTTTGGTATTTTTTTAAATTTCTCTACAGTTTGTCTGGGTGTGAATGTTTTTCCTTATCTTCAGGGGCAATCTATAAGTGCTTCCAAAATGAGACCTTACATATTCCTTTTATTCTGTGAAATTTCTATTGATAGGGTTCTTCAGTTCTTTCCTCTCCTCTAGTTTTATGTTTCTTACTTCTAGGACTCTGTTAAGTATATGCTGGGGCTTTTCTTCTATCCCCTATATCCTTTAGCATTTTATATTTTCTATGTCCTTATTCATTTCTTGGAAATTTACTGAAATAGATATTTCAACTCAGCAATTTGTTCATCTATATTTACCCCACTATTTATTTCTTTACTCTTTTCTTTTAACTTCTTAGCTTAGCATTTTTGTGCCTGCCTAATAGTAGTCATGGGCATGGTGAGTAGCTTAGATCACAGCCACAGATTTCTGTGTCTATGAAGTTAAAACAAGTGATAAAATGAATTGTGGGAAATGCAAGATCAGAACTTGCCTCCTGTCTACACTCTCATCCCCTCCCCTGGCAGCTCTCCTCTGGGGTTGCAGGCATTGACCACCCTCTGCCCAGTCCACTGTTCTCAGGTCAGCGGTCCAATCTAGGTTTCAGTCTGCTCAGGGAATGGTCTCATTCTAATGTGGTTAATTCTTTGGATGCTTATTTCCCTTTTATCTATTATTTCTCCGGAATTGATTTTGGGAATTGGCAGCCCCTGTTTGTTTTATCATACTGGCAGTAATAGGATCCATGGTATATAAAACAAATTGTCCCATTGAAGAAGAAATATTTTGAGAAGATAATACAAAGATTTGTCATTTTTGAGCCATATGACACAAAATATTGTTAATTAATAAATCAAGTTACGGGCGCCGGAGTGGCTGAGTCATTTAAGCGTCTGACTGGATTTCTGCTCAGGTCGTGATCTCAAGGTTGTGAGACTGAGCCCCATGACAGGCTCCAAACTGGGCGTGGAGCCTGCTTAAGATTCTCCGCCCCAGGCGCCCCCCCCCCACCACCGCTGCTGACCCTCCCCAACAGCCGCTCGCACACACTCTCTTAAAAAAGAAAAAGAAGAGGTCAAATTTAGCAATTATTTACATCTTTCACCAGGCTATCTTCCCTCCTCACCCCCCCCCCTTAACACTAAATTTCAGCAAATGCTGATTACATAAGCTTTTGACAATAATGTTTTGGGGGAGGAAGAAGCAGCAAAATGTCCTCATTTGGTGAAATGGGACAGAGAATGCGGGAATTCATAGTGCCTGGCTAGAGAAGAGTTAATAAACACATGCCTCCCTGGATGAGACTAGTTGAAAAGCAAAGAAGTAGTGTACGGAAACCAGGCCCCTTTAACGTTTCTGGGCTGAAAACAGCGGATCCTCGTTGGGGCTCAATGTACTCATCCAGGGAGTAAATGTTTGACTTAGGAGAAACATTTGTCTTTGGAGGTCACATATTCCATGCACTCCCTGCCTGGACACCCGTCACGAGCAGGGCTTGTTCTATTAACTCGATACTCCCTATACCAGTGTCCTGATTATTACAGCTTCACGTTCCTTTTTGTTTTTCTTGTCCCCTTGTTGTATTAATAACATTCACAATAAAGGTAGAGGCAGACTCTGGTTTGAGACCTTCCAACCCTAGAACCTCTGGTTCCCAGGCCCTCTCCTTTCTCCTCCTTCGGTGTCTGGAGTAATCTTTTCATTCACGCCTCAGGGTTTGCTGGCCAAACCTGACAAGGTAGAAGATAGGCGTAGGGAAGAAAGGAAGAAAACAGATGGAGAATTCAGAGAGGAAGTAGTAGTTAGAAGGATGATAGCTCAAACACATTCAAGAACCATTAGAAAAACTAATGATGTAATATATGGTGATTAACATAACAATAAAAAAATTAAAAAAAAATGTATCTGACGCAAAAAAAAAAGAACCATTAGAAATAATAGGGACAGTATGCAGAGCTAATGATTCAAATCACTTCATTTCTTGTTTTCCAAAGGCCTAGAGAACTTGGGCATGTTATATGTAAATGGTCTATCTGTCTCCAGCAGATGTGTGAGCTTTAATGATTTTCTCAGGAACCTCAGGATATGAGTTAAGTCTGACCATACTCGATAGATCACATGTGATCCCGTTGACTTTAACAGAGCGGGTCAGAAGTAAAGGACTTCATTCTTTTCCCCTTTGAGGAAGAGACACACATTCAGATGGAATTTGGGGATGAAAGTAGGCACTTTTTCCTTGTAAGGGTTTATCATTTGACTTTTCCAGTACTCCAAGCTTGACTCTAAGGGATTACTTCATTTCTTCAAAACAAGTAATTCAGAGATACTGGGTCTAGAGAGTATACTATATATAACAACTATTTTCCAAGATATCATGCACCTGTTCTCACTTCCCCAGGCTATTGAAAAAGATATTGGGGATGCCAGAAGCTAGATTAGGGTCAGGTTTAGTGATGGCTGGGGATTAGGAGTTGGGTCATTCTTATTCCTTCAGCATGTTACAGTCATGGTGAATGTGGATAGTCTTCCCAATTCATATCCTAGAAGATACCCGACCTGTGGGGTAACTTGAACCAATTTACATTTTCAAAGATAACTGTACTTGAGGACACAAGAAATGATATCTATTTTAATTAAACATGTGTGTGCTATACCCAGTAACTCACCCATGAAAAGGCATATTGGGTGTGGAAGCAAGTTGAGGTTTAAGTATCTTCACAGCCAAAGTCACAAAGTTAACATAAAAACATTGTGATTCCAAGTGACTTTTGTACTTTACTATTCCAGTTATGCCTCTGAGAAGTTTTTAGATTTACTTATTTTTACTAAGAAATTTCTGAAACACCCACATGAAATCAAATTCCAGAGTCCATGGGGGAGGGGCTGAAATTATGTAAGAAAAGATGATGTAATTAGGACGGAACATTTCTGGAATAGTCACATGTTTTTACTGTGATGTCATCTTGAGGAAAGAAACCTCAGATCTGGAGCTGGATTCAGCATCTCCCTCAGTCTGACCATAGATCAGTCACCTAGGATTTCACACAAGAGAAGAAAATGTATTTGGATTAACACAGCTTGGGTATGAATTCTATAAAACCAGTTTGTGTTAAAGTCTCTAGATATTCACAAAGATTTCTTGATAACACAGAACTGGTCTAAAAGGACAATTTATGTAGATATGGAACACAAGTCGGCACTATCCTATCTGGATAGAGACAGTGATATTTTCTGGACCTCTAGTCTTGACCAAAATGTAACAGGAGTTTCAATACAGGCATATTTGATCTTCAAACGACATCCCAGAAGTGCTAAGCTCAGCATCCTCACATTGAAGCTCATCTTCATTCAGGAGTTTCTCCTCTCCCGGACATTCACCCCATGAAGATTGTGAAAACCAACCTGCAAGAGCAGATTTAGGGCCTGGTTATAATTATTATAACTCGGAGACTAAACAGAGCCCCCTAGAGGCATCAGAATCATGAGCAAGAGGAAAACAGCATCCCTGGGGACCCAGACTGAGATAATTTCTGCACAACATAAAACACATCGGGGAAATCATCAGATACAAACCGTTGATTTCAGATCATTGTCTAGGAAATATCTGTAATAGAGACTAAAGAACTCTGTGAAGGGCCAGTCAGGATAAACTCAGTCGATATTAACAGCAGAGACAGGAAACTGAAGAAAGGAATGGTAAGTATCCCGCTTTTCCCCATTAGATTGGGCGGAATCACAGGAATTTGTTTTGACATTTTAACTACAATTCTCACTTTGTCACATTTTGCATTACCCCAACAAATCTTTTGGTAATCAATGTGATCGTTGTGATTGGGAAAACAGGATCACAGCATCAAAAGACACATGCGTGGCTGTAACCGCAGGAAAGTCTCTTTCACAGAATCCAATCTAGTCCCATCCTCCCTAAAGATACCAAGAAATAACTGAAATTACTTGGAAAGCTACTTCTGGTTCTAAAAAAGAAATATTCTTTTACTTGTCTATAAGGGACCATTTTTTTACTTGTCTGTGAGGGACTATTCTTTGGGTTACATAATTTCTGGGCCCTGGTGCAAAACAAAAGACAGATCCTCTTGTTCAAACACTATCAAGAAGTTCAAAGATGGCAACAGGAAGGCAACAAACCAAGTGTGAGGGCCTTCTTAGTGCGGGGAGCTGGGCAATTGCAGAGATCACATGCCCAGGAAGGTGAGTGACCCTGAGCACCTTGATGGACCCTGGTCCATCTCATCCATTCCACATAAATAAGTCTCAGGAAGAATTTCAGGCTCAGAAAACCCTTCATTTTTGTAATTGTATTCTAGACCATCTGTCTCTTGTCCTCTAATATTAAGCAGGCTACAGCCTCTGGTGGAGCATATATGTGGAGCAGACCTACCCCCAGGAATCAGGATAGGGTCATTCTGTATCTAACAGTGACTTCTTACGTGACTTTGAGAAGGTCACATCTTACCTACTTTCAGTTACTTTATTTATGTAGTAACATTTGACTATACAATTCCTATGATCCTTTCAAGTACCAATAATCCAGAGTCTAAAATTAAAAGCATTCTGGACAATTGGTGGGTATATCCGCTTAAAAATCTGGCAGCATTATTCACATAGAACACCAAAATGTACACCAAATCCCACTATATTTCTGTAAAATGATACTTCTCAGTTGTCTCTCACCCTGAAGTTTTACAATGTTTTGTTGAACCAGATATCTTGGTTTGGGAAATACAGTCACTTACCTATATATGAAATATGCCTGAAACTATCAGAGCTGCTATGTACACATAACTCTCTAGGATCATGAGGCAGTTACTGAGGTGTTGGGGAAAAAGCAGTTTAAATCAGCTGGAGAGACGGTCATTCAGTTTCTCAGAGAATGGTCTCCAGGAAACCAGATTTTCCCTCTCAAAGGACTGAGGTTGCAATCTCCCAAAGCTCTATTCTCCCTTCAGTGTCTCTGCCAAACAGATCTTCCTACCCTCACCCCAACCCCAAGACCAGATTGGCCTGCCTTGCCTACACCATGTCCAAAACTAACTTTGTCTTCACACTCTTTGGCACACAGTGGCAGCTTGGCCACAGAATTATCTGCCAGGTAAGAAACTTTCCAAGGATAAACATGAAAAGATAAATTTGCACATGTGAAAACTAAATAAGAGTTCAGAACAGAACCTCAGGCTTGAAATAATTTCTCTCCAGACAGAAGACTTAGTGTTCACTGGGGATCAGAGAGATCTGCCCGATAGCCTCAGAATGTGGAGAAAGGTATGGTTCTGAGGAGGGATGCAGGAATGCCATGTGTAAATGCTGCACCCACAGATGCTGTGAATCACCCCAGATGGTGGCTTATGGCCAGAACATGGTAGAGAGGGCAGGGACATCCACCTGACTCCAGCTGTTTCTCCTCCTTAGTTTCATGGTCATCTATATCCTCACATGTAGCCTCACATAGATAATATTTACAAGCAGGCAAGATTGATACAAAGGTTCTGAGTCAGAAACTCACACCCTAAAACACCTTAATACAGAACGATCTTTGAAGTCTCTGAGGCTGCTTTCAGCTCATCGGAGCCCCTTCCTTGTTCATGCTCTATGAGCATATCCTTGTGCAGTCCTAACCTGTGTCTCTATCCCTGGTTCTGAACTTGCTGCTGTCATATATGATACCCATAATTCCTTGGCCCTCCTAGTCCAAGGTCATCAAAGCTTAGAGTCCAGAGCAGTACATGTATCATTTTCCAGAAAAATGTAATAAGAACAAGAGGCAGCTTCAGTATCCCACATCACAATGGGTCCCTTCTTGTCCACTGCCACAACTCTTATCCTCATCTCCTTTTTAAAGCTTACCTTCGCCCTTCATTTTCTTTCTGCATTGCTGAATCACCAGGAAAACGATAAAAAGGAAGATGCAGGGTCCAAAGATGAAACTGAGGATACCTGTCACAAAGAAGATTCCAGGGCCAGGATTTGAGCCTAAATTGGACTCTGAAAAAAACATATCCTCGGGATGGGAAAGGACATGGGGAAATCCTGCCCCTACTGTCACTTATTGGGTTTTCAGGATAGTGAAGTCATAGCTGGGGCACAATGGAACATTGTGAGAGCCTGGAAGGTACAAACTCAGCCTCTGCCCTTCAGGATGGGCTCAACCTCATCCAATATTACCTCGAGAAGTTACATGAGGGAATGCTAAGGAATATAAAGAAGCTTCATAAGTTACCACAGATTCATAGGTTCAGAAGGACTATATCCAACCCCTGTTTCAGGGATAGGGCTCACCCACATCAGAGCAGGGAGCAAGAAACCTCAGAGCACTCTTGTGTAGGATAAGAATATTCCCAAAGCAAATAAGACCCACATGCATAGCAAATAGTTTGTTTTCCCAAATTTTCTGTCCTAAGTCAACCGAAGGAAGGGGAAAATTTCCCAAAAGGGACTACTGACCCTTTTCTGAAGGGTTAAAGTTCCTCAGGGCACATCCAATCTTGTCTAAAATGTGTGCACCAAAGAGAATCTTAGAATAGCTCTCCTGTCACATGGGACAAAAAGAAGGGAACACTATACCCAAGTGAATATGAGGCAGATTTCCCCTATTTTCTGGACAGTAAAGAAAGAGCTTAAGGTTGTCCAGTTATCACCAGGACAACCACCCTCATTCCTTACCCTGTTCCTGGGATGCCCTAGGTTCCCCTCTTCCAAAAGTACCTAAAGAAATCCATCAATTTAGACGCAGAGCCTCACCTGGTATAACAACTCTTATAGTTCCACTGAAGCACTTTCTGAAAGAACATTTTTACATTCCTACCATGTTTCCTAAGGCTGACATAATAAATTGCCACAAGCTGAGTAACAACAGAAACTTATTCTCTCACAGTTCTGGAGACTAGAAGTCCAAAATCAAGGTGTCAGTAGGGCTACACTCTCTAAGGAGGTATGAGGGGAGGATCCTGCTTTGCCTAGTTTCTGGTGGTTTTTGGCAATTTTTGGCATTCTTTGGCTTGTACATTCATCACTCCAATCTCAGCCTCCTTTTTCACATGGCATTTTCCTTGTGTACCTCTGATCTTTACACAGGGCTGTGTCTAAATGTCCCTTTTCTCATAAGGGCACCAGTCACTGGGTTACAGCCAAACTAATCCAACATGACCTCATCTTAACTTGATTATATCTACAAAGACGTTATTTCTAAATGAAGTCACGTTCTGAAGTTCTGGACATGAATTTTGGGAGAATACTATTCAACTTACTATATAGCTCATCCCTAAAATTGTCAAAACTAATCTCCTTTACAGAGTTTCAGTCTACAGCCCAGGCCTTTTCACTCATCAGACAACCTCACTCCAGGATTCTCTTTGCCCTTAGGGTTTGTCTTACCGTGACTGCAAGCACTGGCTTGTGGGGAGGACTGGCTACCCCTGCACTGCACCTCAACCCGCCAGACATTTCCATTCCCCAGACCAAACACAGCCTCCCCAAATAGCCAGAGGAGATATACACACACCATGATCGAAAGTACAGAGAAGAGAAACCACATCTTCAGGAATCCACTGATTTGTATGAACACATCCTGGACAGCATCATGAGTTGTATAATAAAAAACTGTTCAATCCTTTTTTGGATTCCCAATAGAATCTATACCAGGAGCCTGTGATCTGCAGTGACCCACATCTCAGGGTATCAATATTACTTTATAGCTTACAGAAATGCACACATTAGTAAACCCTGAGCCAAGTCTTCCAATGCTTCATACCTGGTACCAAAATAAGGACCAGTAACTAACACTTTAGTCACCATGGGGGGGGGGGGCGGAGCAAGATGGCGGAGGAGTAGGAGACCTGGATTTCATCTGGTCTCAGGAATTCAGCTGAATAGGGATCAAACCATTTTGAACACCTACGAACTCAACAGGAGACCAAAGAAGAGAGTAGCAACAACTCTCTGAACAGAGAAGCGACCACTTACTGGAAGGTAGGACGTGTGGAGAAGTGAATCCGAGGCGATATTGGGGAGGACAGATGGCGGGGGAGGGGGCCTCAGTGCACCCCCAGAGAAAGGCAGTCAGTCACTCCCGTCTCCCCAGTCTTTGGCCGCTTCTGGCAAGTGACAGAGCCGCGGAGCACAAAATCGGAACTCGGAGAAGTCGGTTCCACGGAGGGACGTCACTTCAGTGGCTAAGCGGGGGGTGGAACCCTCGCAGGACAGTGTGGTCTCAGGACCCTCAGGGTCACAGAAAGACCAGGGGTGCCTGAGGGCGGCAGAGCTCCCAGGTATCGCAGCGGGGAAGCCAGCTGCAGAGACGGAGCTGAGGCGCGGCCTCTCAGCTCGGGGTTGCCATAAACCGTAAAAGAACATTAGTATAATTGGGATCCCCTGTTCCTCCAGCAGGGACCCAACAAGCGGCAGATCTGGGGAGACTCCCCACCCTCCCCCGGGAGGAGCGGCGCGGGAGCGCACCGCAGGGATCTGCTGGGTTTGGAGACTCCACACGGGGTCGGGTGCCAGAGATAGAAACGCTCGGTCACAGGCCGGGTGAGCACGCAGTGCGGCCAGAGACCAGGGAGACGGGAGTGACTGACTGCCTTTCTCTGGGGGCGCAATGAGGAGCGGGGCCCCTAGTTCTCGGCTCCTCCTGGGCGGAGATTGGGAGGCCACCATTTTCACCCTGGTCCTCCAAAGCTGTACCCAGAGCTTGCAGGGAACAAAAGCTTCCAAGAGCAAACCCGAGCAGCTTGCTTAGCCCGGACCAACAAGGGCGGGGCACTTCCGCCTCCGGCAAAGACATCTGGGAACCTCGGCAACAGGCCCCTCCCCCAGAAGATCAGCACGAACAGCCAGCAAGCCAAGACCAAGTTTACCGATCAAGGAGAATGGGAGAACGCCAGCGCTTGGGGAATACTGCACATAGAATTCATGGCTTTTTTACCATGATTCATTAGTCTTTCAAAGTTAATTTTTTTAACTTTTTAAAAAATTTTTCTTTTTCCCTTTTCCAACCAATATCGTATCAATCCCTATTTAAAAAAAATTTTTTTTATTTTTCATTTTTAAAGTCATATTCTATCCCTTTATAGTAGTTACCTTTATTTTTGGCATATATATAT